TGCTCTCCTTGTGGCTTCGTTAGCCGCGGGATCGGGTCCCTCCAGGGAGCTGTGTGAGCAGCCACACACAGAGGGGTCGCGCTCTTCCCACGCCCACCCCTTCCGGGTGTGACTCCGGATCGTCTGCGGCCTGTCTGCACCCGTCGGTCTCGAGCCGCCAAACCAAGCGTCCGGTCTAGCTGCTGCCGCGGGGAGGGGTAGCACTTCCTGGGCCACTTGTCAGAGCTGCGGCCCTCCCCGCTCCCATTGCCCACGGGCGGGGGAAGGGGGGCGAAACGCATTGCGAGCAAATTTGCCCCTGCAGTAAATACCCCGTTCCCAGGGCAGGAGGGGGCATGGAACCCGCGCCCAGCGGCTGGGCGGATTTGGTCCCTCCACCCTGTGCAGGGAGCCAAGGGGCTGCCCCCTCTGCTGCCTGGGGGAAGGGGTGTTTTGGGCCAAACGCCCCAGCCCAGCCCACAGTGGCCATTCACTACTGCACTGAACGCCCCCAGGTCTCTGCTAACCTGCTGCCATTCTGGGGGCCCCGCTGTGGCTCCCCACTCTGGATCAGCAGCCTCCCAGGCCCTAAGCCCCTCATTGCTGCAAACATGGAGGCATGAAGGGCTCCCCCAGTGTGAAAGGAAGTGGGGAGAAAGTCAGGACTTGATAGAAAGGGGCAGGGAGCCACAATCTGACTTCTAGGCTCCCGGAGGCCTGTCCTGGCCCAACACATCTGCTGTAGGGGAGTATCTGCAAGGTCCCAGTTACCGGTAAGGTCTGACCACAGGGTCTTGGACCAGCGGCTTATGCCCAGACAAACCTGTTAGTCGTTAAGGTACCAGGGGACCAGTGGTGAAAATAACGAAACATTTCTTACAGGTCCTGTCCTATTGCAACCCGCGTCCCTGGCAGCTCTTGCAATGGCTCCGCCGCGGCTCAGCCAGCTCTTGCTGGAGCTGCACATCGGGGTTGTTTTTATTTAGCTCCCCCACCGCTGGGTACCCCTCTGAACCCAGTCACTTCCCTGGCGGCCGGGGAAAGACTCCGGATTGGGCGCCAGTGGGGGAGGAGAAACTCACCTGGTGAGAGACCGGAGTGGGTTTGTCCTTTTCTCCCCAGGACAAAGGAAGTGGGGGCTGCCACATAAAACAGCGCTCGGGGTGTTTGCATGGGGGGTACGGAGCATTTCATTCTTCTTTTGCTGCAGATTTGAAGCTACAGGCTACGGCTCTGGCCCTACAATGCAGCATACCATGCAGAGACTGGGAGCCTACCTGTTTTCTCCCACGGGTGAGTAAACCCATCCTGGCCAAAACTGTGCGGTGGATTTTACCCAAGCGACCCCAATAACTGCAACACCAGGGGACGGAGGAAGATCAGGCTGCAGTATGGACTGTGAGGCCTGGCGTTGGGCTCAGACCTGACGGTGCGGAACGCAGCGTCTTTGGGGGAAAGGACGCCTGCACTTGGCTAAGTAGCAGACATTGGGAGAGCTGCAAAGCTGCAGCTAGCTGCTTTCTCTCCCCAGCTGTGGATGCTGATCTCTGCGGCTCATTTTTGCGGATATGGAGGCAGATGTGGATATAAATTTTGTGTCTAGAACCCTGCAAATCTGTGGCCGTCCGCTTTATATCCACGGGTAGCCACATCCGGGGGGGAGGGATGCGACTATCCAGGGATCATTTTTGCAGATGTGAATGCCAATACCAATCTTGTGTCCTTGAAGGGCTCTAGATACTGGTCCATGCTGGAATCTTGATCTCAGGGGATGGCAAAGAAGTGTAAGGCTATTAGGCTGACCGGACGTCTGCATCTCTATTCCCTGCTTTGTCTTATACCGCCATCCCACTGGCTGTCGGCACCGTCCTTACAAACCCGGCTGGCCCGTGCCGGCTGGATCAGCTCACAGGGCTCAGGCCAAGGGGCTGGCTAGCTGCAGTGTAGACAGAGTTCAGGTGCCAGCAGGGCCAGCCATGGTGTTCAGGTGCAGTGTAGACGTACCCAAAGCAAACCGGCTGGGGTCCTGGAATTAGCTGGTAGTGGATGTACCCAAAGTGGACCGACTGGGGTCCTGGAAGTAGCTGGTAGTGGACATACCCAAAGCGGACCGGCTGGTGTCCTGGAAGTAGCTGGTAGTGGACGTACCCAAAGCGGACCGGCTGGTGTCCTGGAAGTAGCTGGTAGTGGACATACCCAAAGCGGACCGGCTGGTGTCCTGGAAGTAGCTGGTAGTGGACATACCCAAAGCGGACCGGCTGGTGTCCTGGAAGTAGCTGGTAGTGGACATACCCAAAGCGGACCGGCTGGTGTCCTGGAAGTAGCTGGTAGTGGACATACCCAAAGCGGACCGGCTGGTGTCCTGGAAGTAGCTGGTAGTGGACATACCCAAAGCGGACCGGCTGGTGTCCTGGAAGTAGCTGGTAGTGGACATACCCAAAGCGGACCGGCTGGTGTCCTGGAAGTAGCTGGTAGTGGACATACCCAAAGCGGACCGGCTGGTGTCCTGGAAGTAGCTGGTAGTGGACATACCCAAAGCGGACCGGCTGGTGTCCTGGAAGTAGCTGGTAGTGGACGTACCCAAAGCGGACTGGCTGGGGTCCTGGAAGTAGCTGGTAGTGGACGTACCCAAAGCGGACTGGCTGGGGTCCTGGAAGTAGCTGGTAGTGGACGTACCCAAAGCGGACCGACTGGGGTCCTGGAAGTAGCTGGTAGTGGATGTACCCAAAGCGGACTGGCTGGGGTCCTGGAAGTAGCTGGTAGTGGACGTACCCAAAGCGGACCGACTGGGGTCCTGGAAGTAGCTGGTAGTGGATGTACCCAAAGCGGACTGGCTGGGGTCCTGGAAGTAGCTGGTAGTGGACGTACCCAAAGCGGACCGACTGGGGTCCTGGAAGTAGCTGGTAGTGGATGTACCCAAAGCGGACTGGCTGGGGTCCTGGAAGTAGCTGGTAGTGGACGTACCCAAAGCGGACCGACTGGGGTCCTGGAAGTAGCTGGTAGTGGATGTACCCAAAGCGGACTGGCTGGGGTCCTGGAAGTAGCTGGTAGTGGACGTACCCAAAGCGGACTGGCTGGGGTCCTGGAAGTAGCTGGTAGTGGACGTACCCAAAGCGGACTGGCTGGGGTCCTGGAAGTAGCTGGTAGTGGACGTACCCAAAGCGGACTGGCTGGGGTCCTGGAAGTAGCTGGTAGTGGACGTACCCAAAGCGGACTGGCTGGGGTCCTGGAAGTAGCTGGTAGTGGACGTACCCAAAGCGGACCG